ACTCTCACACTTCCCTGGTCCTTCTCGCATGAACAGAGCAACAATACCCGAAGTTCAGAGGTGCAAACAATTCAATGTTTATTGGGGTGAACTTCCAGCAAGCATGATTCCAGTTTCCTTCCTCAGTGTCCCCCTTCCCAGCTCTGACACCACAGAGCCGTCCCTGCTCCCATTCCCCCCTTAGCAAAACATGATTCCCTCACCCCCATTCCCTGTTCCCATCCCCCCCCTTACTTCCTGATTGACTGCAGACTATATAGTAAAACTTGAGTTCTGCTTAGTTATGTCTTAACCAATCATTTTACTGAAATGTAACTAACCAATCCTGACACATTGTAACATGGTTATTTAACCAATTATATCCCACCCCCTTAATTGGTTTACACCCAACACAATTAATTATACAGCAGACAGAAACAATCACAGAACCAGACAAACAATAGGGAAGTGGAGACTACAGTGACAGAACAACACAGAAATGAGGATTTCACATCCCAGCTGTTGAGAAGTGAGTTCTTGCCAGACAGGATGCTGTCAGACTAAGTTTCCTTTTACATCTTCTAGGCTCTTCCCTTTCTCTGGAGGTGATGGGACTATCAGGAGAGGATTGTATTCCTAACAGCCCAATAGCACCTTATTTCCATGTGACTAGTTTGGGATGTGACTGTACACTTCCCAGTTTATGGCTGCCTCTGCTGCTTAGCCAAAGGCCTTAGCCTAAGAACCAGGCCTCAGACTGTCACAGTGAGAGAAGGCCCTTACACCGGCAGACAGTGATTTTGATTCTTTCTTTTATACCTCTAACTAGCTAAGTAATAAAAATACACCTACATTCTTAAAGTATAGGCCTTTACAGACAGGCCTAAACATCTATATCCTAACAAGTAAGACCCAGAAAGAGTCTGTTGTTGCTCAGGAAAATGTTCCTTTCGAGCAGTGGTTCCCAAACTGGGGTTTGCGAAATGTTACAGGGGGTTCTCGGGAAAAAATTCCCTAATGGCGGACAGAGGTGTCCCTAGGGACCCCGGGCAGCACAGGGCCAGCAGTTTCCAAGAGCTAAGCAGATTTGCAAGCATACCTATCACCCTGAGGAGATTTAAACTTCAAGACTCCTATAAGAAATGGAAAGGAAGGTGGATATTTTTTGCTGTTTTTAAAATTAAATAGGCAGCTAGTCTTGTTTTTAAAATTATTATGAAGAACAAGTTTAAGCTTTGTTGTAACGTGCATTGTTTGTAGGGTGACCAGATGTCCCGATTTTATAGGAACAGTCCCAATTTTGGGGTCTTTTTCTTATATAGGCTCCTATTACCCCCTCACCCCCGTCCCAATTTTTCACATTTGCTGTCTGGTCACCCTAATTGTTTGCCTGGACTGCTCAAGACCTGAATGCTTGTGTAGGAGGAACTCTTTGAGTTGGCTTCTTAAATACCTTCATGCTGTTTCACATCTGATACTCCTTGATGAAACATAGGAGCCTTGTCTTATAACAGACTTATTCAAAGTGATACAAGCTATGAAAGTGAGATCTTGGAAGAGTGTTAGAATCATAGAAGATCAGGGTTGGAAGGGACCTCAGGAGGTATCTAGTCCAACCCCCTGCTCAAAGCAGGACCAATTCCCAACTAAATCATCCCAGCCAGGGCTTTGTCAAGCCAGGCCTTAAAAACCTGTAAGGAAGGAGATTCCACCACCTCCCTAGGGAACCCATTCCAGTGCTTCACCACCCTCCTAGTGAAATAGTTTTTCCTAATATCCAACCTAAACCTCCCCCACTGCAACTTGAGACCATTGCTCCTTGTTCTGTCATCTGCCACCACTGAGAACAGTCTAGATCCATCCTCTTTGGAACCCCTTCAGGTAGTTGAAAGCTGGCAATGCCCCTATTTATACAGCCCAACGCCCAACACTTATACAGTGTTGCCGTTTTCATAATGTAATAAAAATACTCTAATGATAAATAATAATTAATAATAAATCGTGTGTAATAGGCATGTCATGAAAACAAATGTTGTATTTCCAAGATCACGGCTTTTATAATTTATACTCAGGCAAAGGAGAAAATCCCTGGAAATATTCATTTCTAGGAGGGGGTTCATGAGACTTGACATTTTAGTGAAAGGGGTTCACAGGTTGTTAAAATTTGGGAACCACAGCTTTCGAGCAAGCCCTACATGAAGAGGGTAAGGTCAACGTTTCTGTAACAGTTAAATTGTTGCGTAAAGAAGTTCCTGGGGAAAGGAACCTTCATGGCTGTCTTTGCAAGCAATTTGCTGCAGCTGAAGGGTGTGAAAGTGACTCAATCAAGGAAGTTTCAGTTCCTAACTTCCAGAAATTTTCCGTGGTGAATGGATCCACTGACTTTCCTTTTGAAAGAATAACTTTGAGAAGGTCTCAGGTGGAGTAAAAGCTGTTAAGAAAGTTGAACAGCCCGATGACCAAGTGGCTGGGTTTGGCCAGCTTGTTGGGGAGACAAGGGTGTTGAGAGAGAAATGTCTCCATGCTGATTCTGGGAGTGAACAGTCTGCGTCTCGGGTTCAGAGGGAAGACGGGGTAGCTGAGTCTGCAGAGCAGGATGGCAGGTGTACGTTCATCTCTAGACACGTTGGATATGACTTGTGAACTTAACATCTAACTCCATGTGGAAGGGAAGGACAACAGAACTTTGAGTCTAGCTTGTTGGTGAAAAAGGACGGTATCTCTTTAGGACAGAGTCCAGCCTTGGAATTGGTAACAGTTAAGGATCTGAAAACTGGTGAAGTGGCTCCTGTCTGTGTTGATGAACATTACCTGGCTGACTGGGAGAAGAAAGACTTGCTAATAGCTGTTAGCACAGAGGCCTGGTCTACACTACGACTTTAATTCGGATTTAGCTGCGTTAATCCGAATTAGCCCTTCACCCGTCCACACTACAGAGCCAGTTAATTCGAATTAAAGGGCACTTAAAATCGATTTCTGTACTCCACCTCGACGAGCGGAGTAGCGCCTAAATCGATTTTGTTAATTCGAATTAGGGTTAGTGTGGCCGCACACCACCGAATTACTGTGGTTAAAGTAATGGGGTAGTGTGGCCGCACACCACCGAATTAATGTGGTTAAAAACCGAATTAATGTGCTTAGTGTGGCCACGCACAATCGAATTTATACAACCTGTTTCCCAAATTCGAATTATCTAAATTCGGATTAATCCTGTAGTGTAGACATACCCAGAGAGCAGTAAATTCTGTTGAGGAAGAGAAATCAGGGTTTAATCCTGCAGGACAAGAAGGAAAGAGAAAACTGAATTTTGCAAAGGGAAGCCACAGGGTTAACCCTAAAACGCCCAAACCCCAATGGTATTGAGCCAAAGGTGTGGCATGATTGTAGATGGACACTTGCAATTAATTTGTTGTTATTGCTAATGGTAATTTTTGTAACTAATGTGTTGCTATTACCCAGAACTGTAAAAATGTACAAATCCTAGAAGATCAGGGTTGGAAGGGACCTCAGGAGGTTATCTAGTCCAACCCCCTGCTCAAAGCAGGACCAATTCCCAACTATTTTTTTTTGCCCCAGATCCCTAAACGGCCCCCTCAAAGATTGAACTCACAACCCTGGGTTTAACAGGCCAATGCGCAAACCACTGAGCTATCCCTAATCTTTTGGAAAATCCTTTGAACATGTTAAAAGGAATACATGAGAACACACTTTATGTTAAAAGGCCTGGCTATACTGATGTTTCACAGTTAGTGCCTGTAAACAGTATTGGAACTTTTCACAGGGGAAAAGACATTCCAGAACTAATGTGCTGTATGGAAAAGGGAAACTGAGGCACACTACCCTATTGCTTTCACGGCTAAATGCCAACATTCCTGTACTATGAACAACATTAATATCTACATTGATTTAATGTTAATTGGGTTCCAAACATTGGCCAGAGCTTGTATGGACAAAGTAGCTGTTTTCTTTAGCTCTTGGCGAGATCACATGAAACATACAGGAATCCTGCTGCAAGGGCGGATCCAATCCACTATTGTTCTAACCAAGTTTTACCTTGAGTTTGTAAAGAGATTCAGTCATGTTATTGAACGTGACTTTGATGAACCATTTCTGTTATATGCTGGTACGGCTTCTAACCCAATACTAGCTGTAGTGAGACAGACCCAAGAATGGGGGGCTCTTGGGATGCAGTCAGTGATGTTTGTGTCATCCCTTCCTGCATCAATTTTGCGTTGGGGGTGTCACGTTATTAACTTGAACTGGGACCGTATAGAACATGGTTGCAACCAAGGTCCTGTAGTGGCACCAAATCTTGTATAAAGGGGGTCAAATGAGGTGTCTAAGACAAGGTTATGGTTGGCTGGTTATGATCATGTGTGTATCAATTTTGTAGTTGAAGTTATGAATATTGGCTCTAGACTGTATTTCAAACTTATGCTATGCTTCTGGGAGACATCAGGGCCGCCCAGAGGGGGGGGCAAGTGGGGCAATTTGCCCCAGGCCCCGGGCCCTGCGGGGGGGCCCCACGAGAATATAGTATTCTATAATATTGCAACTTTTTTTTATGGAAGGGGGCCCTGAAATTGCTTTGCCCCAGGCCCCCTGAATCCTCTAGGCAGCCCTGGGAGACATCCCAGAGAAGTTGGTGTTAGCTCTGCCTAGACTGCTTGATGGCCCATTAAGGACCATCAGCTTCTACACAACTGACCCATTGAGAGAAGGCAAATACGCCTTGTAACTCAGCAAAGTATGCAGGGACTGACCCATGTGACTCCAGACTCCATTTTGCTGTAATTTTCCAGAGTAAGGACAAAGAGATGTTCTTACACCTGCAAAAGACTATATAAGGCTGATGCCTCATTTCCATCTTGTCTTCAATCCTGCTTCTTACCTCTAGAGGGACTTTGCTACAAACTGGAGCTCTGAACAAAGGACTGAGGACCCATCCCAGCTGTGGATGGACTCCAGAGACTTAATTTTGAACCTGCAGTTTAATCCATCGCTGCTGCAAGCCTGAACCAAGAACTTTGCCATTACTGGATGTAATTGATTCCATTTAACCAATTCTAACTCTCATCTCTATCTTTTTCCTTTTATGAATAAACCTTTAGATTTTAGATTCTAAAGGACAGACAACAGTGTGATTTGTGGGTAAGATCTGATTTGTATATTGACCTGGGTCTGGGGCTTGGTTCTTGGGGATCAGGAGAACCTTTTTTCTTTTACTGGGGTCTTGGTTTTCATTCGTCCCCATAACGAGTGACACTGGTGGTGATACTGGGAAACTGGAGTGTCTGAGGGAATTCCTTGTGTGACGTGTGATTAGCCAGTGGGGTGAGACCAAAGTCCTCTCCGTCTGGCTGGTTTGGTTTGCCTTCGAGGTGGAAAAACCCCAGCCTTGGGCTGTAACTGCCCTGTTTTAAGCAATCTTTCCTGAATTGGCCCTCTCAGTTGGGTCCCGCCAGAACCAGCATCATTACAGCTTATCTCTAATTTCACCCTAACCCTTATTTCTAATTTCACCTTAACTTTTAATTTCACCTTAACCCTTCTCTCTGATTGTCACCCTACCTCTAGGGAACAGCTGGAATGGAGCCGATGTTGGACCCCGGGCTAGAGCCGCCCCTGAGCCAGGAGAGCTTCTCTGATTTCTGGAGCAATATGTAAATATCGGGGGGACCCCCTCGTCCCTGCCCCCTCCACCCAGATGGCTAGCCCCCCCGGGCTTCACCCACCCTTCCCTAGCATAATCCTCCCCCCCTTTCCCTTCTCAGCACCTGTCCTAACCTGTCCCCCCAAACGCCTTGTAATTTAGGGGTGGTGCGCTCAGAGAGGGGCAGGGCAGAGCGGAGTTTACCTTGCATGGTGGTGGGGGGACAGCCCCCTTCATCTTTACCTTTCCTGTCTCTTTCAATAGCTGGTATCCCACGAACGCGGATTCCACCGCAACGGAGAGCCAGCGGCTGTCTGTAAGTGCAGAGGGCCAGTGGGGAATAGAACCCAGGAGTCCTGTCTCTCAGACATGCCCCCACGCCACCCACCTTGCCACACTCCCCTCCCAGAGCTGGAGATAGAACCCAGGAGTCCTGGCTCCCAGCCCCCCCAGCTCTAACCACCAGCCCCCACTCCCCTCCCAGAGCCGGGGAGAGAACCCAGGAGTCCTGGCTCCCAGCCCGCCCTGCTCTAACCCACCAGCCCCCACAACCCTCCCAGAGCCGGGGAGAGAACCCAGGAGTCCTGGTTCCCAGCCCCCCCCTGCTCTAACCCACTAGCCTCCACTCCCCTCCCTGACCCGGGGAGAGAACTCAGGAGTCCTGGCTCCCAACCCCCCACCCCGCTCCCCTCCCAGAGCTGGGAAGAGAACCCAGGAGTCCGGGCTCCCATCCCCCCCCCCCCCCCCCCAACCCCCGCGGGGGGGCCGGGGGGGGGGGGGAGGCTGGAGGCCAGTGGAGGGACTAGAGGTGCAGTGGGACGTGGGGAAAGACCAGGGGGTATGGGGAGGGGCTGGGGGCAGGGAGGCCGTGGGGCTGGCTGGATCCGTGGGCGGGGGGGGCAGTGGATTCTGGGGCCGGCTGAGGTCGGTTGGGGGTGTGTGTGGGGGGGCCTGGTCTGCGGCATTAACCCTTGGCTCGCCATGTCTCCCCCACAGAGCCTGCCGGACCCAGACCCGGACCTGGCCCTGGGCCTGGCCCTGGGCCTGTCTGGCTCGGGGGACCCCTCCCTCCTGCTCCCACAGGCTGGGGGCAGTGACGGGGGCTGGGAGCTCCCCGGCCCGGCCCCAGAGCCGCCCCCCACCTCTTCCACCGTCCCCTCCACCGAGGACTACGCTGGGGAGCACGGATTCGAGCTGGTCTTCCAGCAGTCGGGGACCGCCAAGTCCGTCACCTGCACCGTACGGACCCGGGGGGTGGGGAGGGGATATTTCAGGGAGGACTGGGGCAAGCAACCCAACTGAGTCCCCTAGCGCTTCCCTACAGCGCCCCCTAGTGCTGCCCCGGGGCCAGCCCCGCCTGCCAGGGTAAAGCGCCCCCTGCTGCCCCCCGTCCCGCTCCCTGCCCCACAGCGCCCCTAGCGCCGCCCTGGGGCCAGCCCTGCCTGCCAGGGGAGAGCGCTGCCTGGTGTGCCCCCCGCCCCGCTCCCTGCCCCACAGCGCCCCCTAGCGCCGCCCTGCCTGCTAGGGAAGAGCGCCCCCTGCTGAGCCCCCCGCCCCGCTCCCTGCCCCACAGCGCCCCCTAGCGCCGCCCTGGGGCCAGCCAGGGGAGAGTGCTGCCTGGTGTGCCCCCCGCCCCGCTCCCTGCCCCACAGCGCCCCCTAGCGCCTCCCTGCCTGCCAGGGGAGAGCGCCCCCTGCTGACCCCCGTCTCCGTACCCCCGCAGTACTCCCCGGAGCTGAACAAGCTCTACTGCCAGCTGGCGAAGACCTGCCCTGTGCAGATCAAGACGGCCAGCCAGCCCCCGCCCGGCTCCGTCGTCCGGGCCACAGCCGTCTACAAGAAATCGGAGCACGTGGCCGAGGTGGTGAGACGCTGCCCCCACCACGAACGCTGCGAGGATAACCGCGACGGTGAGGGGCGTGGCTTGGGGGGTGGCAACCTGTGGAACTCCCTGCTGCAGGGGCGTGTGTGTCTGAAACCCAGCTGGAGGGATCCTGGGATGGGGAATACTGGGGCGGGGGGGAGGGGCTCTGATCTGCCAGAGAAGAAGGCTGGATGTCGGGTGGGGGGGGGGGGGATGGGGGCCCAGAGGTGTCTCCCCTTGAGCTGCCCCCTCGTCTCTTGTGACAGGGGTCGCCCCGGCCCGCCACCTGATCCGGATCGAGGGGAACCAGCAGGCGCATTACTACGACGACGAAAACACCAAGCGCCAGAGTGTCATGGTGCCCTACGAGACGCCCCAGGTACCGGGACACGGGGCCCGTCCCCTCTAGGGGGCGCCGGCTCCCACCCGGCCCCAGGGCAGGGACTGGCTGGCTCAGGGGGGCGGGGAATGGGGCAGGGGCCTGTCCCCTCTAGGGCCCCCGAGATCATTGTAATTCCCTCTCTGCCCTGCAGGTGGGGTCAGACTGCACCACCGTGCTGTATAACTTCATGTGTAACAGTTCGTGCATGGGGGGCATGAACCGGCGCCCCATCCTGGCCATCATCACTCTGGAGGGCAGGCAGTAAGTGTCCCCTCCCCACCCCCCAGCCCTCCCTGGGCCCCCTGCCTTGTAGCCCCCTGCCGGGGCTGGAGCTGCCTCCCCTGGGGGACCAGCACCCCCCCAACCACCCCCCACAACCTGTGCACCCCCAATCAGCCATGAGGCATTGGGGAGCTGTTGGGTTGGGAGCCAGGACTCCTGGGTTCTCTCCCCGGCTCTGGGAGGGGAGTGGGGGCTGGTGGGTTAGAGCAGGGGGGCTGGGAGCCAGGACTCCTGGGTTCTCTCCCTGGCTCTGGGAGGGGAGTGGGGGCTGGTGGGTTAGAGCAGGGGGGGCTGGGAGCCCGGACACCTGGGTTCTCTCCCCGGCTCTGGGAGGCGAGTGGGGGCTGGTGGGTTAGAGCAGGGGGGGCTGGGAGCCAGGACTCCTGGGTTCTCTCCCCGGCTCTGGGAGGGGAGTGGGGGCTGGTGGGTTAGAGCGGGGGGGCTGGGAGCCAGGACTCTCCCCGGCTCCGGGAGGGGAGCAGGGGCTGGGGGTTTAAAGCAGGGGGGGGCTGGGAGCCAGGACTCCTGGGTTCTATCCCTGGCTCTGGGAGGGGAGTGAGAATGGGGGGAGGGTTGGGGGGCTGGGAGCCAGGACCCCTGGGTTCTATCCCCTGCTCCAGGAGGGGAGTGAGAATGGGGGGAGGGTTGGGGGGCTGGGAGCCAGGACTCCTGGGTTCCTGTCCGTGTCTAATGTCCGTTCTCTGCCCTCCTGGCACAGCGGGCAACTCCTGGGCCGCCGATGCTTCGAGGTTCGAGTCTGCGCCTGCCCCGGACGAGACCGCAGGACGGAGGAGGAGAATTTCCGCAAGAAATTGGCCGGCAGGGTCCTGAGCGGGGCCGGAGCCCTCAAAGGGGGCAGAGCCAAGAGGGGTGAGTGCAGGGGCGGGCCCAGGGACTGAGAGGCGTTTGGGGCGGGGATATGAGCGGGCAGGTGGAAGGGGAAGTGTGGGGTTCTGAGGGGGCGGAGCCAAAGGCGAGTGTGAGGGGAGGGGCATGGATGGGGGTGAGGATGAGGATGGGTGGCGTGGCTTCTGAGGGGGCAGGGCCAATAGGGACTTACCCATATGGGAGTCGATGTCCGTAATTCGGCACCAACTAGACGTCGAAGCTGAAATCGACCCAACTCGATTTGCCAGTTGGATTGGCCCCGCCCCCTCTTCCCGCACCCCAACTCTTGGCTCCGCCCCACGCAGGAGCCCCACCCCCTACACTCACCCCTCATGGTCCTGCCCTCCAGAACGCCCCACGTGCTCTCTCCTTGCCTAGTTTTCCAGCCAGTATTCGGACGTGGCTGAATTAGGTTCAATTGAATCCGAGTGCGCTAGCTTGCTGATTTTAACACCAAGTTCTTCTCTTTCCTTTGGACTGTATTCCTCCGATCAGGTCCCTTCACTCTTCTTAGCCAATCAGCAAGCTGCTTAATTAACTGAGAAACAAATGGAGATTTAATGAAGAGTTGTATAGATCACGTTTCGATCGGGGCGTGAACTGAACCGCTAATACACACAGACGGGCGTTAGTGATCGGCAGTTCCACCTGGGAACAATAGAAATTACACAAAGATTTCTTATTCCATTTACCGATAATCATCAATGATCCATTCTTCTGTCAGTCGGATCCAGTGATCACACTTGTCTTACAACCATCAAGGATCCATTCTTCCATTGGTCAGATCCATTGATCACACTTCTCTTACAACCGTCAACGATCCATTCTTCCGTCAGTCGGATCCATTGATCACACTTCTCTTACAACTGTCAACGATCCATTCTTCCGTCGGTCAGATCCAATGATCACACTTCTCCTACAACCATCAATGATCCATTCTTCCGTCTTTCTAATCTATTTATGGGCTTGGAAGGATTAAATTTTTAATAGGGAAATATCAGTAAACGGCCATTCGCCTCGCCCACGCAAACCAATGACCAAATATTTCCATCAACAGAAGAAATTGACAGATAGGCCAAATAAAGTCAATATTCTTCAGTCAACCACGAATAAATTCTCCAGCAGGCCGGATGCTCTGGCGATCTGTTGAGAGTAGGATTGAGGATATTTACTTGGTAATATTTTTGGCCAGTGCTGAGGACAATTTGGGGCTTTTGCGGTTATAAAGCTTTAACTTTTTGAAGCTCGTTGAATACTTATTCCCCAGAATGGGGCAGTGTGACTTTCCCAGGTAGCAATGGGCTTGACATGTGCTTCCCCCACCCCTCAGCTCTCCAGGCTACCATGGAAACAGCTGAGAACCCCAAGAAGCGGGTGGTGTCCACCGAGAAAGAGGTCTTCCTACTCGAGGTGAGTCCTGGTGTGGAAATTGGGGGTTCAGGACTCCTGGGTTCTCTCCCCGGCTCTGGGAGGGGAGTGGGGGCTGGTGGTTAGAGCAGGGGGGGCTGGGAGCCAGGATTCCTGGGTTCTCTCCCCGGATCTGGCAGGGGAGGGAGGTCCATCTGTGCAATTTGAGTGGATCTAGGATTGGAGGGAGCAGGAGGGGGGTTGGCCTGTCCTGGGGGGGGGAGGAGTCTGACTCCCCACCCCTTCCTGCCTCTTTCCCTCTCCCCCGCCACCAGGTTCGTGGGCGCAAACGATACATGATGCTGAAGGAAATCAATGACGCCCTGGAGATGGTGGCCGCCAAGCAGCAGGGGGAGCCAGAGAGTCACCGGAACCCCATGCCCTCGAGGTGGAAAGGGGGCAGAGCCCTAGGCTGGGAAGGGGGAGGGGGGCTAGCTGCCCCATGGGAGGCTTCCCCCGCCCTTCATGGAAAGAGGGTGGAGCCTGGCTTGACCCCTCAGGTGGGGTCCCCGCTGGAAAAGGGGCTGGGTCCAGTTGCACCCTTGGGTGTGGGACCCTGCAGGGTTCTCTCCCCGGCTCTGGGAGGGGAGTGGGGGCTGGTGGGTCAGAGCAGGGGGGGCTGGGCACCAGGACTCCTGGGTTCTCTCCCCGGCTCTGGGAGGGGATTGGGGGCGGGTGGGTTAGAGCAGGGGGGGCTGGGAGCCAGGACTCCTGGGTTCTCTCCCCGGCTCTGGGAGGGGAGTGGGGACTGGTGGGTCAGAGCAGGGGGGGCTGGGATCCCGGACTCCTGGGTTCTCTCCCCGGCGCTGAGTCTCTTCCTCCTCTCTCCGGGACAGGTTGCTGAAGACCCGGAAGGAGTCGGGGGACGAGCTGTTGCCTCAGAGTGGAAAGAAGCTGCTGGTGAAGGAGGAGGATTCGGAATAATTCCCCCCTCCAGACCCGCCCCCTCCCCCCCGCGCCTGGTCCTGTCTTGCACTCAGCTAATTTTCACTGCCAGCTTTTCACAGTCATAGTTTTCTATGAAATCTCCTGTCTCCCGCGGGGAGTGGGGTCGACCCTACGGTTCCCCACCCCGCCCTCACTTCTCATGACGGCGGGGGGGGGGGAGGGGGGGAGACTGTTCCCATCCTACTGAGGACCCCGCCCCCTTCTGGGACCCCGCCCCCTGGTCCCGCGACCCCGCCCCGCTCTGTACACCCACCCTTCCGCTGGACTTTTATACCAACTTTTTATACAATAAATCCAGCTGGTTCTTAGCTGCTGCCTCCTTCCCTTCCGTGGGTGTGAGGGTGGGGGTCAAGGGCCGGTTGGCTGCGGGGACTGAGTTAATTAACAGGGAATGGGCCCAAAACCGGCTGGGAAGGGGGGACTTGGCTTGGAACAGATGTGCCAATTGGGATCCGGTCTTAGACCCCGCCCAGATTAGCTATCGGTGCCCTGGAAGGAAACCGGGGTGGACGGGACCCACAGCTGGAGGGGAGGGGTCGCTAACCCCCAACTTGATGATTCGGCGACGTGTAGACAAGAATCCGGTGTAGGAGCAGGGAGGTGATTTGACCTCTGGATTCAGCCCCAGCTGGAATCCAGCTCTGGTGTCGACGAATCAAGAAAATGGTGAATTAAAAAAAAAAAAACGGGCTGATGTCTCCGGTAGCCCACCGATTAAGGGAAGAGGAGGTGGGTGAGGCATTTTGAGAACAGAGAGCCACAGGGCTCGGAGAGGCCACAAAAGTCATCCAGTCTAGACGCCGGGTTTGTTGGGTCTAATCCAACCAAGACAGACGACCGGCCAGCTGCCTTTTGAAACCCTCCGGCAAAGATGCTCCCCCCGACATAACCATCTAACGGAAACATCCCTAGACCTGGTAGTAATGGAGGAACTTTAAGTACCCGGACGTCTGTTGAAAAGAATAATAGAATATCAGGGTTGGAAGGGACCTCAGCTGGTATCTAGTCCAACCCCCTGCTCAAAGCAGGACCAACCCCAACTAAATCATCCCAGCCAGGGTAAGGGGGTCGGTCCTGAGGCCGGTTTTGTCCAACATCTTCATTAATGATCTGGAGGATGGCGTGGACTGCACCCTCAGCAAGTCTGCAGATGACTCTAAGCTGGGGGTAGAGGTGGATTCGCTGGAGGGTCGAGATTGGGTCCAGAGTGACCTAGACAAATTGGAGGATTGGGCCAGAAGAAATCTGATGAGGTTCAACAAGGACAAGTGCAGAGTCCTGCACTTAAGACGGAAGAATCCCAGGCACCGCTACAGGCTGGGGACCGACTGGCTAAGCAGCCGTTCTGCAGAAAAGGACCTGGGGGTTACAGTGGACGAGAAGCTGGATGAGAGTCAGCAGTGTGCCCTCGTTGCCAAGAAGGCTAACAGCATTTTGGGCTGTATTAGTAGGAGCATTGCCAGCAGATCGAGGGAAGTGATTATTCCCCTCTACTCGGCACTGGTGAGGCCACATCTGGAGTACTGTGTCCAGTTTTGGGCCAAAAGGATGTGGACAAATTGCAGAGAGTCCAGTGGAGGGCAACTAAAATGATTAGGGGGCTGGAGCACATGACTTATGAGGAGAGGCTGAAGGAACTGGGGTTATTTAGTCTGCAGAAGAGAAGAGTGAGGGGGGATTTGATAGCAGCCTTCAACTACCTGAAGGGGGGGTTCCAAAGAGGATGGAGCTCAGCTGTTCTCAGTGGTGGCAGATGACAGAACAAGGAGCAATGGTCTCAAGTTGCAGTTGGGGAGCTTTAGGTTGGATATTCGGAAACACTATTTCACTAGGAGGGTGGTGAAGCACTGGAATGGGTTACCTAGGGAGGTGGGGGAATCTCCTTCCTTAGAGGTTTTTAAGGCCCAGCTTGACAAAACCCAGGCTGGGATGATTTAGTTGGGGATTGGTCCTGCTTTGAGCAGGAGGTTGGACTAGATGCCTCCTGAGGTCCCGTCCAACCCTGATCTTCTATGAGTCTATGAAAACGCCCAACTTCCAAGAAGGGTTTGGGATGACTTTTTGGTCCGGAAAGTGGAAGGAACAAGGAAGGAGGGAGGAAGAATGCGGGCCGCACTCGAAAGAGCCCAGAAAATGAGGCGAGGTAGAGAGAAAGCCACCTTCCGAGGGAAGGCACAAAACCCGAAACCGGGCCGGGTTCATTTGGAGAAGACGTCCGATCGGCTCCGAGGCCGGGGGGACCAGTTGTTCTCCGTGACCGCCGAAGGCCGGGCCAGACGTCACGGGCTTCGTCTGCAGCAGCGGAGATCAGAGGAGGATCCTGTTCCCTTTCCGGGGCGCTCAGCGGTAGATTGGGCATCCCGGGGAGGGGGGGGTGGGAGACGGACAAAAACTGGAGGGTTTTTTTGTGAACAAGTTGGTCAAACCCTAGGTTGACTTCTCCGGCCTCAGGTTGGGCAAACCCGAGGTTGACTTGTCTAGATGGACGTGTCCTGCCTCCGCCACCCACTTCTCCTGCCCATCTCCCCCACCGCCTGGGGCTGGCCCATGGGTGTCCTCGTCTGAGTGGGTCCGTTAGACAAAGGAGGGGGACCCTGGCTCCCCCCTCCTGGCTCCCCACGGGGTTCTGAGCCAGCCAGCGGGAGGCCAGATGCAGCAGGGATGGGCTCTGGCGGGAAGGGCCAGGAAATGTGGGGGCTGCAGGAGCTCACCTGTTTCCCATGCCCCCCCCCCCCACACATATACCTTGTTTTCCGCCCCCTGTCGTTCCCTGATCCACCACAGGGGGGCAGGAGTGCACCGCCGCTTCCTCTTCCTCCCCCCTCCCCCATTCAACACAGAGACCTGGCTTCATGAATGGGGACCCGGGGGGAGCAAAATGGGGGGGGGTTGGAGCTGCCACTGTGTCCCTCTGTAGCATCCTCTTCAAAGCAGGGACAGTCCCACCCCCCTGCAGCCTGTGTGGGGGAGGGGGCATGTTCTCAAGGCCCGGGGGGGGGGGGGGGGGGGGGGGGGGGGGGGGGGGCCCCCGGGGGGGGGGGGGGGGGGCCCCCCCCCCCCCCCCCCCCCCGGGGGCGGGGGCGGGCCCCCCCCCCCCCCCCCATCTGTAGGCACAGGCTTAATGAGCTTGTCTCTGTGTGGGTTTGGGGGGGGGGGGGGGGGGTACCACATGCTGAATGGGGTGAGGGAAATCTCTGGCCAGCTGGGTTGAGGCACCGCCTCACGCTTTGTGTGTATGTTGGGGGGGGGGGCAAGGGATGAATGAGCCCAACCCCCCCCCTTCCCGACCCCCAGTGCCTGCCAAGTCCTCAGCTCCGCCAGGAGTGGACTGGAAATTTCCTCCGTCCCCTTCCACTGACCTTGAGCCAGATCCCACTTCTGCCACCAGGTGGCGTGGAGACAAGATGGGGGGGGAGGGCTCAGAGCTATGCCCCTCCCCCAGCTGCTGTCTCAGCCTCCCATGGAGATAGAACCCAGGAGTCCTGGCTCCCAGCTCCCCCTGCTCTAACCACCAGCCCCCACTGCCCTCCCAGAGCCGGGGAGAGAACCCAGGAGTCCTGGCTCCAAAGCTCGGATTCCGTGGGTCTCGCTGCAATTTTGCCCTCCACAATGACGCTGTTGCAAGTAATGGTCTATGAGGCAGCCGCGCTTGTGCTGCGGGAGGGGGGAGTAACTGTGTGGGGTCAGCTCAGGGAGGTTATGCGGGGGGTCTCACCATAGGGATGCCGGCCCGAAAGCGATGGGGAGGTGCTGCTGGCCCCTGGGGGCCTTAGCGCCCCCCCCCCCAGCTCTGTGGTCTATGGGGCAGGACCCATCTCCCCTGCCCCGAGCTCAGGCCTTAGGCCGAGGGGGGGGTCGAGGCCCCTGAGCACCCCCTGCTGGAGGTGGGGGTCACCTCCCGCTCGGGATTGGCCTACACACACTGTTGCAACGGAGGTTGTATCTGGCACCCGCATGCCTGGGGGGGGGCTGGGGTCAGCAAATGACCCCCAGCCCCCCACCAAGAGGGTTGGGGTGGGGCTCCTCCATTGCCAGCAGAGATGGTGGGGGGTCCAGGATTGGCTGGATGTCGGGAGCATTGGGCCAGCCCTACACCCCCCCATCCATTTAGCCCCACCCACCCACCCTCCCTCCCTCCCTCCCTCCAGCCATCTGCCCCCCCAGTCCCTCTCCCATCAAGCCAGCTCTGCCCGCCCTCCCCTGCCCCTCCCCCACCTCTAGCCCCTCCCCACCTCCACCTGGTTCCAACCCCTGTTCTACCCTGCACCTGCCCTGGGGCTGAGACCTTGGGGATCCTGCCCCCCCCAAATCGCCGCCCACCTGCGCTGTGTGTGTGGGGAGCAGCAGCTGCACAGGGTGCAGGGGAGACCAAAAATCCCCCCCAAGCTTGATCCCCCCCC